TGGAAGCTCACATGTTGTTATCGTGGACCCATGGTAAATGCGAACCAAAATGACGGAGCTTGCAAAGTGGAGAAGGAGTGGAAAAAACAAATGCGATCAGAATTCCAATGACGAGGAGGGCATGTCACTTCCGACACTCTGCACAAAGATCACTCCTCGCACTCCGAAAACACCTTCCACTAAACTATCCAAAAAGAGAGATAGGAGGACAAGCAACAGCAGAGGACAAAGGTTGGAGTCATATGGGAGGTGGAAGGGCAGACGACACTCAAGCACACCAAATAGTCAAACCAGAAAAAAAAAAAGAGTCCCAAGAAACATAAAAAAAAAAAAAAAAAAAAGACTGATGATGATAAGATTGTTTCGTCGAGTTGCACCGGCTCATCACGAGGCTGAACCCTCGACAATCTGTGGAATCTCTATATTTGATGGTTTGGATCATGAACCCTTTGACCCTTGTTGAAGGCAGACTGTCCCCAAGTGGAGCATAGCAGCGGACAACAACTCTGCAGAGCACCAGGCAGCACAGTAGAGGCAACAAGGCTGCACAATGCCAAAAACAATTGCAAGGAACGACATGGTACACAAGACATGCAGCGAGGCAACCATGTAGTGAAGCACAAGGCAACACAAGCAAGGTAACCACACTGCAAGGGACAACAAGGTGAGTGAACCCGTAGCTCGACAACCATGGAGCGAAGCACAAGGCACCAGCAACAGGGCAACCATCCAACAAGGCCCACAAGCAGCGGACACGGAAGGCACGACCAACGGGGGCAGCGAGGCAGCGAAACAATGAAGCACAAGACAATACTAACAACACGGCCACACCACACAACGAACACATCAACCCGCACAAAACCACATGCGAAGCGAGCAGGACAGGCAGCACGGCAGCCGCAAAGCGCAAAGGAGGGCGTCCACACATCCAACACGGAGCAAAGCAGCACATGACCTACTCACATCATGATCGAACCTCCCAGACTGTTGGTTCCCACCACCCACTGCGCCAGGGAAACACTCCGACGAGCATCCGTCATCACTCACGGACACCACAAACATCCCCAACCGAGCGGCCCCCATAAGAATGCCGTAGGCACTCCAAACGAGGAACCACCGACTGTTTGGCACTACTGGAGGGTGCTCAGCTAGGGACATGAAAGTACTTAGAGAAATACAAAAAGGAAAGAAAACATTCATCAAACTGATAGTGTATGTGTGTGTGTGTGTTCGAAAATGATCTTACGACGCATCCGCCATGTTACTCCACTCTTTCAGTGGTACACCAGGTCCACCCATAGCCCATCACATGCCGTTTTAACTGCCACGCATCCATGCTACCTTGCCAGCTTAAAATGACAGGCCACACACAAACAAACCAAACAGGCAAACCACTGCTGCCACTTTACTTCTCTGAAGCTACCTCATACGTCCGTGGTTAACCGCAACCAGTTTTCTAAGTCCCACATAGGATGGAGGGCATGGGGGAGGCGGGAGGGCAAATGACACACAACGACACCAAGTAGGCAATGAAAAGGCATGACGTGATAACGCATGGGATGACAAGCAACAGCGAAGAACAAAGGCTGAAGGGCACAGGGCAGGTGGAAGGGCAAACGACACACAAGCACACCAAGCAGGCGGGAGGGCAGACAACATGCAAGCACACGAAACAGGCAAACAGGAAAAAATACATGTCCCAAAAAAATCAGAAGACCGAAAAAATAAAAACTGATGATAACAAGATTGTTTCGTCGGAGTTGCACCGACCCAGCGGGAGGCTGAACCCTCGACAATCTGCGGAATCTCCGTATTTGATGGTTTGCGTCATGAACCCTTTGACCCTTGTTGAAGGCAGGCTGTCCCCAAGCGGAACATAGCAGCGGGCAGTAACCCTGTGGAGCACCAGGCAACAAAGTAGAAGCAACACGGCTGCACAACGCCAAAAACGACTGCAAGGAACGACCTGGCATGCAACGTGGCAACCGTGTAGTGAAGCACAAGACAACACAAACATGCAACAACACTGCAGGGGATGGCAGGGCGAGTGGACCAGCAGGTCGGCAACCGTGGAGCGGAGCAAAAGGCACCAGCAACAGGGAAACCAACCTACAGGGCACACAAGTAGCAAGCACGGAAGGCACAACCAGCAGATGAGCAGCACGGCAGCGGTGCAGCGAAGCACAAGGCAACACCAACAACACGGCCACACCACATAACAAACACATCAACCTGCAAAGAACCGCATGCGAAGCAAGCGGGACAGGCAGCAGGGCAGCGACAGAGCACAAACGAGGACGTCCACACATCAAACATGGAGCAAAGCAATGCATGACCTACTCACATCACGAGTTAACCCCGCAAACTGTTGGTTCCCACCACCCACTAAGCCAGGGAGACACTCCGACGACCATCCGTCATCACCGATAGCAACACAGACATTCCGAACCGAGCAGCCCCCCTAAGAGTGCAGTAAGCACTCCAAACGAGGACCCACCGACTATTCGGCACTGCTAGAGGGTGCGCGGCTAGAGACATAAAAAGTACTTAGAAAAAATAGGATAACAACAAAAAACAAACATACCGAAAACTGATTGTGTGTGTGTGTGTGTGTGTGTGTGTGTGTGTGTGTGTGTGTGTGTGTGTGTGTGTGTGTGTGTGTGTGTGTGTGTGTGTGTGT